ACCCCTGGACTAAGGTGTAAGAACCCTGGGCATCCACTAATGTCTGTGCATGTGTGCCCCACCCCTTACACACACAGAGTGGAGAAAGTAGCAACTTCCTCTGGGCTAAAGGATGGTACCAACTTACACTCACAAAAACCACATTAAGAGATAAAAGATGGAAAATTTCCCAAAATATTATTATAGCTTAATAAAATTTCAGACAGGCAGAGCAACTGAATTTTAATTAATTTTTTTTATGTCTCAAATGAGATTGTTTCATGACTATATTATCAAGATACCATGGGACTCATGTTTTGTTTCCTATTACAACCATTTAGAACCTAGTCAGTAAATAACTTTAAAAGCAGATGAATTATTCAATCATAAATTGGAGCCATTTGAAAGGAATTAGGATGCGTCTTCCTTCCTAGAGCTAAAAATCAAAGAATGTGTGTCACAGTTTAACTTTCAGTCAAGCTTAAAAAAAAGGAGACAAATGATGTGTGCACGCTCACTGATGTGGTCGATGGCGCCGGCGCAGAACTTTCCGTAGAACTTCTTGGCCCCGAGTCCCCTGAGGTCGTGGATGGTGTAGGGCCAAAGGTGGAGCACATTGTTCCTGGAGAAGGTGTCTCTTTTTTCAATCACCACCACCTTGCAGCCCAGCAGAGTCAGCTCGATGGCCATCCGAAGGCCACACGGACCGCCGCCGATGATCAAACACTGAATGGGAGAAGATTTCAGTTTTAAGATTCTGTACTGCAACACAGGAACAACTCCAGCATGTCGTCTGCCTGTCTGACTCTCACGGTCATTGTACTGGCTCGTTTAACACTAGCTTATAAAACAAGGGAGTTCACAGAGAGGTCTGAAGGCAAACGGCAACAGACAGTAACTGAAATGTTCTCTTGCATGTTATTCAACCCAATCAGGTTGTGAATCACTCAACACACCTAAAATACCAGCATGTAAGCTTAAACATATACTTTACCGACTACTGAATTTCAACCCCCAATGCAAATATGCCATATACGCAGCTGGAGTGGGAAAGCATCATTCAAATGTCTTGCAGCAGCACAGCGCCTCTCTTTTTTAATCGCAGTCAGCGCTTCATTTCCAGATCGGCACACAGCTATTTTACAGCTACACAGGAAATTACGTAGCCAAACAATTAGCACAGCAATTTGGGTACATTTCTAA